CAATACAGGGTTAAAAAAAAATATAAAAAGCCGACTGTTTCATTCGGGCTTAAGATCGTGTTTTTATGGTCAACATTTTTAAAGCCCCAAAACCTGGTTCCAGAAGCCATTCAGTTCCAGCCCTCGTCCATGCCCGGCCAAGATTGAAAATTTTCCCCCGCCTAATCGCGTTACAGCCGGCAAGTTTGCCGGTTGTTGCCGGGAGACAGCCCTGTACATTTCATTTACTCACCCCCCCCCCCTCCCCACAACGTGAGCACAGCCACGCGGAAAGACGGGTGGTGGTCGGCCTTTAGGCGGTGTCGTGGTGGCGTGAGGGGTAACACGTCATATCCGGGTCGACGTGAGTCTCAGGGGGGGGGGGGGGGAAGATGGGCATGGGAGGGGCGAGTTGAGGAGAGGGGAGGTAAGATAGATGAAAGGGAAGGTAAGAAGGGTGGAGGGGAGGGGAGATAAAGGGGGGAGGGTGAGACACATAAGGATAAGACTTTGTCAGAAGAGAGTAGTGAATAGAGTGAGAGATATGGGATAGGGGAGGTATGACAAAGTAAAAGGGAGGTAGGACTAGAACAGAAGGGAGGCAGAGAGTTTGGGAGATGGGAGATTTGGAGAGAGAGGAAGAGAGCGGAGGAGACGGGACTGTGATGACGCAAACATAACTATATTTAGAAGTTAGGAAATAGCCATCGGTCAAGCAGAACCAATCAAATAGCCCGACCAATAGAACATTAGGGAACCGGTCATGTGTGACGGTCAGCTGATTAAGGCGGTTGATCCTTTCAAACGTGTAGTAAGTAATTGGATCAAATATTAATAGATAGTTAAGTTGGAGATTTGAGCGTATATTAGTTAGGTTATAGTTAAGTAGTAGATCGTGGTAGTAATAGAAAGTTATAGTCAGGCTAGTTGTAGAAGTTAAGAGTAGGACAGTAGAGTTAGAACTAGGAGTAAATTGATTGTGCATTTATTAAATAAACATTGAATTTTGAACTGGAGAATATCTATACGGCATTAGAAGTGTCGATCCCCGAAACCCCTTGTATACACATTACGGGTAATGTAAAACATTTCACTCACCACAAGAATGTTAGGTAGGAAGAGGGAGGGAGGGATGAGGTGAAAGTGGAGGTAGACGAAAGATGAAAGATCTTGAGACTTGAGAAACTCGACTGTGGTCTCAACTGTGGACCTACGCACGTCTCCAAAAACACACAGAGACAGTCGAGACTTTTACTGACATGTTGTTGTTTTTTTAATGTAGACAATAACTCAATGTTGGATGTCACAATCGTAAGGACACTTGGACTTGTCCATAACCCTCTCCATAAATTTGGTTACGTTAGTAACCAGTCTTTTGTGAAAGAAAAAAAATTCAATTTAATTTAACGTTCTTGACGTGTAGCATTATCTCCCCTATGAGCGTCCCTAGTTACGGGAGTGATGTTTAATGTGACACTAATCCAGGTGACATGGACTGTCACAATTTATATAGCATGTCAGTAAGGTGACGTACTGATATTCAGATAACATAAGCTTTCAGTAAGATTACACAAACCCTGCCTTTTAGGTCACATAACCTGTCATTAAAATGACATAACATGTCATTAAAATGACATAAACTGTCATTAAAATGACATAACCTGTCATTAAAATGACATTACCTGTCAGTAAGGTGACAGCCTGTCACTGTCGTGTCACATTGTCCCACCTCGATACAAATACAACACCAGTAAAAACAATTGAATACATGCTGACAGTTTTGTTCCAATAGTGTATGTAAACTCCAATATTATCTCAGCTTCCACAGTTCAAATACAGGTAGGTATGCAGCGAAGCACAACAGTGATTGTCCATCAAGTCGTCTGCTAACTATCAGAAGTGCGAAAACCACAGCAACAGTGTATCATGCCGTAGGATGTATAGACCAACAACGTGCCGTATAAAATCAAAACAAAACTCTTCTCTACAAAATTGTTGTATCTTTTATTGACTTTTGTTGGATAAGTTAAATATTGTTTTCTACGTACTGAAAACAAAACAAATAGGTGTCACGTGAAAATTATTTTTTGTGTTTTTTTTAAGCAACTGTGAGATCAGGAATCACCATCAGAAAACTTTCTGGGACCGTGGGGGGGGGGGGGGGGTTAAATTTAACAACAATAAGAAATATATATAGTATATATATATATATATATATATATATATCGATTAGCTAAAAATACACGTTATGCTAGAGCAGTCATTTATAAGCTTCAAGCTTGCCAAAACTTATATATATATATATATATATATATATATATATATATATATATATATATATATATATATATATATATATATATATATATATATATATATATATATATATATATATATATATATATATATATATATAACTGTGTATAACTGCACTATGTGACTTTGGTGACTATCTGTTGTTACACAGATTAAAACACAAGCCAATATAAAAACTGTTCTCCAAGATGGTTCCTGATCTCCTTATATCGTTTTATACATCATAGAAATATAAACCAAGTATAAATAAATATAGATTTGTCTGTAGAGATGAAATTGACAACAATAAACAATAGCTCTACTTCTTAATTACATGTCATTCTTTATACAACGCAGAGCTAATTAAACTTAATTAAAGATGGGAACAAACACGTAATCAGTGTTCGATAACCATTCAACGCCTCCATTGGGAGACCAGGGTTTGAGCAGGTGATAAAGAGAAAGGATTACAGGTAAGTATAGCTGTAGGCTATACGGTTAACATTCAGAGTTAACAAAGTTAACATTCAAAGTTAATACCTACTTACATATTTTAAAAAAAATTAAGTAAAAATAAACTTGCCGACAAATATTCAGAGTGTACACAGTTGTTAGGTATGTAAAACGTATACAAGCTAATTATACTTACTACACTCTTCACATTTCTCACATTCTCACTCTGTCTCTCTATCTCTTAAAATATGTCTCACTATCTCTTTGTGATTCATTTTGCCTTTTCTCTTTCATATTTCTCTGATTCTCTCTCACTCAGAAACTTTCTATCGATTTCTCTCTCAAGTCTATCTATTCACATCCCATGATTAAATCAAGTCAACACTATCAAATCTACTTTCTATTTTGATGTCTTTAGATTGTGTACATGTACATACAAGTACTAGTGCTAGCTGGTTAGAATGTGTACTTGTATTGGTGCTAGCGATGTCTTGTACTAATTATAAGCAAACGATAATTAATTTTAAATAGTTATGGGGTCTGGGGTCTGGATCTGTGTTAGGGGTCACGGGGGTCTATATTATGTTCTGAGTGGTTATGTTATAGGATAAAGGTTAGGGGTCTAATCTATGAGGGCTGGGTTATGAGGTCAATGTTAAGATTTTATTGTTTGAGCTTTATGATTAGAGTTAAGGTTGGGTTTATGGTAGTATAGCAATAGAGGGAAATGAACTATTCATTATTTAAAATAGAATAGCATAAACCATTTAAGTTCACACACACACACACACACACACACACACATACGCAGTTGCATTTAAATTGGGTTTATTTTGTTCTTTGTGTGAAGTATTCATATTTTAAAACTTAAAAGTTTTACTAATACGGTCGTTGTGTTTGATCTATGATTAAAGTTAAAAATAATAAGATCTTTAAGACTGCTGTAACTTTAGTTTAATAGTAAGATTTTCATACCTGATCTATTGATACAGTTTTAGTATTACGATCTCTGAGTTGACTAAATGATTTTACGATCTTTATGGTTACTCAGTGACTTAAGTTTTACTTGTAAAATAGTTATGTTTGTTTTATGAGTTTAGGTTTAGAAGTTTTTCAGCGGGTCTCAAAATCTGGTAAGTGGGGAACTTGGCCTTTGTTACAGATTTAGGTAACGGAAATTATGGGATATAAAATTATGTTAACCCTTTTACTATCACCGGTGCACTACAAAGTAGGATTTCAACAAATACAACAGAAGTTTGGATTAGTGTTAGATGTCACTATAATGGGACTAGGACTCAGTTTATAGTTATGGTAAGGGTTATTGTTTTTGTGGTTGCTTTTCTACGGGTTAGTAAGTGTAATAAGCATGGGAAAATATTTTTTGAACAAAGATCAAAGTGGGTGTTTAATAAGAGCCTAATATATCCAAACTTAGATTGAATTTAAGTAAGTTTATATTGTGTTTACATCTCACAAAATTAAGACACAAAAAGTTGTTTTACAGCTCGTTCGATTAATAATAAAAGAATTCCTAAAGACAAAATGTATCAAGGAAAATACTAAGACGAATGGCCGATGGGGTAGTTACTTCCCCTGAACACAGTTATCTCCTATGTTGTAGTTCTCAATGGAATGTCACTATTGTTATACTGACCAATCATCTTGTTCTGCTAAATATAGCACTAAACACGAGCCCTAGATAATAATCCCCATGAATTAGTGCTGAAACGTTAACAATCATCCTACTAAGTCTAAAATAACGTTAGATTTTATCTTACTCTTTATTCTTTTTTTTTACAATACACAGACACTAATTTCATAATTAATTAGCATAATTCATTAACATTTTAATAATATTAATCTTATAAAAATAAAATAATTAAATAACCAAAATAAATTAATACTTAATTTAAAAAACGAGTTTCTACATATTAGCAAGTAATAGTTACAGCTAAAATTAGATTTTCGCGAGATGTGATGCCCTCACAAATATGGCGTTTCGGGAAAACCCGCTAGATAACTTTGGCGTCGCTATGTGATTGCATACAAGTGAAATACAGAAATCAGATTCAAACAATAAACAAACCATTATGTTAAAAAACTAAATAATAATAATAATAATAATAATATACTTTAAATACTGACGTCATGAAGGAATGGAATGATATATGTACAGAGAATATTGTATGCTTGAATCACTTGCTAAATCAATCAATTCATTTATTATACATGTATATTATATATATATATATATATATATATATATATATATATATATATATATATATATATATATATATATATATATATATATGGCGATGGGACATGAATAATTAACATCTAAGTTTGCCATAAAGGTTTTGCTATCTCCCTCCACTGTTTTGAATAGAGTTCTGTATTGCATTGTGCTACGGCTATGGTTACACCTTGAGTCACGTGAATGCCTTGAAACTGTAACCAAGGACGCGGAGTAAAAAAAAACAAGTGTTGAAATCAACGTTCGGTTGATATCGTTTGACACTTGTATCCAGCGTTTGTAGGTAAATTGTCAAAACTAAGCAGGTGATCAACACGTTGAACTGTTGACTTGACACTCATGTAACTCACGTGAACCAATTCTGGAACATTCTTTGTATAGTATCGAGTTGTGGCACATTTGATTTATGGTATCGAATCGTAACTTTTTTGTCTTGTATCGAATCCGTAGTCTGTTTAGGATTCAAAAGTATCGAAGTATCGAATATCAAGAATCATGGTATCGATTTAAGTGGTATCGAATATTCTGATTTCAAGTATCGAATCAGTGGTATCGAATGTCAAGAAGTGAGTGTTGAGGAGACACCCTGCCCTACTGAAATATCACAAGATCATGATAAGTCTCGTCGTCTGCCGACTCTCGTCTGCTCTATGATGGCACAGTTGTCTGTCCAGTCAACTTTGACCCGCAAGGGTCACCTTGACCTGATGACGTAGAACCACAGTGACCTCCAGAATTATATTAATACCTTTTATAAACATACAAGAAAGTCTGTCTAGAAAACTATCTTTGCTCAGACTTTTGTCGTAGCTGCTATCAGAGGTACACAGAGGGCCACCGCTGGCCAGGAAGTCATTGAATGGCCATGTAGGGCCAACTGAAGGAGCCACCACTGAGGAGCATGTCACGGATGAGAGTCTCGATGGGCGTCTTCCCCACCAGGCGGACGAAGAAGAGCTGCTCGATCACCTGGGCACTGACTGTCCGTAGGGAGGGGAGGCGGAGGAGCAGCTTGCCGAACCTGGAAGAGAGGGGTAGATGGTGGTCAGTTGATGGCTACTGTGGGGGCGGGGGAGGAGAGGTCAGTTGATGGCTACAGGTTGTGGGGAGTAGAGGTCAGTTGTTAGCTACAGGTAGTGGGGAGTAGAGGTTAGTTGTTGGCTATAGGCTACATATATATTTTATGCTGACAACCAACAAATAAATTATAACTAGATCTAGTGAATGAACTACTGGAATGTATATCCCTTATATTATACAGCCTACTGGCAACAGACTAAGTATCACAACAGTGTTAAGTGTACTACAGCTGATATTGTATAACACCAACTTACCTGGTAGGTTGGTTGGGGTACTGACTGCGGACGTATTCTTCTAGGGCGCATTGGGACTTCTCCTGGATGCTTTCTATATGGTTCATGTCAGACAAGCCACAGGCATCTAGAAAATACAAGAGAAACACGTTAAACAGTTGAACTACGGGTTAACACGCTAAACAATGGACCTACGGGTTAACACGTTAAACATTTGAATTACGATTTAACACGTTAAACAGTTGAGCTAAGGTGTAGCACGTTAAACTGTGGACCTACTTTTAACACGTTAAACAGTTGAACTACGGGTTAACACGATAAACAGTTGACCTACGGGTTAGCACGGTAAACAGTTGAACTACGGGTCAACACGTTAAACAATTGACCTACGGGTTAACGCGTTAAACAGTTGGACCTACGGTTAGCACGTTAAACGGTTGACCTACTTCTTAACCAAAAACACATTAAACATGAATAAGAACATGGCTGGCAATGAAAACAAAACAATGCGTTTCTGTTCATCGTTGCTAATTAAAGCTAATACAATGTTTTTGTAGTTGTATTTATTTTGAAGTTCTAGTCAAACGTTTATAAAGCATGTTTGTCAAACTAAATCAATGTTTTCATAATATTCTGTTCTTTTGTTTTAGAAGATAAGAAAAACAAGACATTGCGAAAGATAGGTTACATAAAGTATGTGGTATGTTATAGTCGTGATTTAAATTTGTTGACATTGTTGTTTACGTCTAGGGGTGGTTGAGTCAATAAAAATATACTTCAGCAATTTGGTATAACTGGCGGGGGGCAAAAGTTCAACTCGGGGGTTAGATATTGATTGGGACTGGTTAATTGTCCTTGGTGCGCTTTGTACTCGCGGGCGGTGAGCGCGAGAATTGTGACGTTGTACTATCATTAAACAATCCATGAGAGCGACTCCCGGCTCCGTCATCGAGCTGGGTGGGGGAGGGGGGGGGGGTGGATTGTCTTTAAGAAAATTATAGAATGGGAGCGCAACGTGTCGCTCGCGGAGAGGACGATCTCGTCTTGGATAGGTATACGCGGCGTGAGAATGTGAGTTCATTGACTAGTGGTATCGAACTGTAGGGAGGGGGTGGGTGTCGCAGGGTCGGGTCTGGGGTGGGTGTCGCAGCGCCGGGTCTGCGGGGGGGGGGGGGGGGGGGTTGCGGGGTCGGGTCTGGGGGTGTGTGTTGCGGGGTCGGGTTTGTTGAGGTGGGTATCACTGGGTCGGGTCAGGTTGGGGTGGGTGTCGCTAGGTCAGACCTACATGCTTTGCCGTGTCGCTAGGTCAGACCTTCAGTTGTAGGGGATGTTGCAAGCCCGGCCTTTTATTTTGGTAGTTTCACAAAGTCAAAACTACAATTTATTAGGTCAGAAGGTCAGTGTGGACAACTGACCTACAAGTTGATATGGACGTCAAAGGTCAGACCTACAAAATGAAATCTCAGTTAAGCTGTATAAATCAGAGACCTGGAGATATGCTAATAAAATCATAGCTGGTTTCTATACCCAAACCCCACTAACGAGCTGTGGTAAACCAACACAGACCACATGTTGTGGTCGCTACTTGAATGCCGTAGCTACACCATCGCCCACAGCTTTTGTTGATCTATTTGTTTATCTCCACCGCGACATTACTAAACACGGATCAACGCACTAGATTTAAGAGCTCTCTGGAAAATAAATAAAACTCTCAGTAGAGATGCGTACGTATTCAGAAATCTGGAACCTTGGGGAGAAAAGGGGGGAGAACTCTAGGGTTACAGGCAGTGGTGGTGGTGTCCCTTGGAAAGGTTGGCAAACACGGAGAGACAACAAACTGTGGTGGAGACATGGAGTAGAAACAAGGAAGATCTCAAACATTGCCTGCTCAAACAACCGCAGGAGTGAGGGCAGGGGGAGCTAATTGAAGGGAGTACACGCTTACTTCCCCCTTCTCGCTCTTACACCCCCCCCCCCTTTCGTCTTTGTGGTTGGACTTGACTCATCCAACTTCAGCTTGACTTGGAGACGACAAATACTGTTCTTCTCACTAGCAAGTGGACGCCAATGATCCCCATCGTCCCGTGTTTGTATGGGCTCGTATACAACGATTGGGTTATGTCCCTTTCTATGGTAGTGCTTTACTGGCTCGTATACAACGATTGGGTTATGTCCCTTTCTGTGGTAGTGCCCTACTGGCTCGTATACAACGATTGGGTTATGTCCCTTTCTACAGTAGTGCTTTACTGGCTTAAAAAAAAATACCAGGCTATTTCGGTATCGACTCCAGGCAAAAACAATTATGTTATTGCTTTCTCCATTCAGCTACTCTGACATTACACCTCATCATCCGACTTCATCGATTGTCGATCTCACGAGATACCAACAAACAACAGATCTTGAAACAAAAGATCACAAATATGAACATTTTGAAACAAAAGGTAGCCGTGAACATGGAAGATCATCATCATAAAGATCTTGAAAGGATAGATCACCATCGTAAAGTTGACGAAAAAAAGATCATCATAAGATCGTGTAACAGAATCACCAAGATCATGAGCCTAAAATACTGAATTATAAGTTATCAACCAGCACCAATATATCGCCATATTACTGACTATAGCACCATCGGCCATATTCGTGACTGTAGCTGATTATTATAGCTCTCTGACAACACTGTACATAACGATCCAGTTTTGTTGACCATAGATTAATAACGCTGACCTTCGGTCAACATCAACTGACCACCATGCCACACCCACATCAACTGACCACCATCCCACATCAACTGACCACCATCCCACATTAACTGACCACCATGCCACACCCACATCAACTGACCACCATCCCACATCAACTGACCACCATCCCACATTAACTGACCACCATTCCACATCAACTGGCCACCATCCCACATCAACTGACCACCATCCCACATCAACTGACCACCATCCCACATTAACTGACCACCATTCCACATCAACTGGCCACCATCCCACATTAACTGACCACCATTCCACATCAACTGACCACCATCCCACATCAACTGACCACCATCCCACATCAACTGACCACCATCCCACATCAACTGACCACCATCCCACATCAACTGACCACCATCCCACATCAACTGATCACCATCCCACATCAACTGACCACCATCCCACATCAACTGACCACCATCCCACATCAACTGACCACCATCCCACATCAACTGACCACCATCCCACATCAACTGACCACCATCCCACATCAACTGTCCACCATCCCACATCAACTGTCCACCATCCCACATCAACTGACCACCATCCCACATCAACTGACTACCATCCCACATCAACTGACCACCATCTCACATCACATAACCATCTTCCAACATATTAATTCTCACCACACATAATTGACCATTGTCAACAACACGAACCATCGACCAACATCGTACACCATCGGCAAACTCCGTCGACCTATCACCATCCACCACGTATCACTCCCACAATCCCCCCTCACTCCACACTACTCACACTTAACATTGGAACCGCGATCGTGTCGAAACGCCAACGAAAGTTGGATTTCCCTCCAGTAATGGAAAATCATTGAACAATTTATCCCGGGAACCCCACGTCATCTTTAACAGAACGGTTAAAACTTGTATTACGACAATCCTTTAGTACGGCGGCCATAATGGTAACATTAAGTGCAGTAGACGGGGAAGGAAAGGGGGGATAAACAAGGGGAGCTAATGATCAACAAGACGGAAATAACATGCCTCGCGTATGATAAAGACGCCATGTTTAATCCGAGTAACATCAACACTTTATGTTAATTAAACATCGCCGGTTAGATCCCTTTGTGACGGCGTCTTACGCGTTTTACCTAAATTATTTCACAATCTGCGTAATACATGTTTGATGTTTTTTAACACTAGCATTCTCGTGTTAAAAAGGGTTTTATTTTTAAAGAGTGAGTACTAGAAAGTAGGGACTGATTGTTATATCGAATCAACAATGCTGTTTTTTTATTTTATTTTATTCAAACAGTCATGTTTTAAAAGCATGGACATGGTAGTAATGAGATGAAATCATGTGGTAGTGCAGTGAATGTTATCTAACAGGAGGGTTCAATGAAACTATGTTGGTGTGGGATTATTATATTTTTTTATGCAGCTGAAACCATTAGATTGATCAATGTTAAATGTGTAAGATGGAGGTGGTGGTAGATGGGGGGAGTGTGTATGTGTGTGTGTGTGTGTGTGTGTGTGTGTGTGTGTGTGTGTTGAGGGGGGGGGTGTGAACGCAGGCGATTGTCGTCTGATTGCCGCGATTAGCCCCAGGTCACGTATCTGTAAACCGTTCTTGTCCACACGTCATGTGGGCTGACGACATGGGGGTCGTGGGGGGGGGGGGTCGTTGGGGTCGTGTCTACCTGTCTTGTTGAGACCATATCTGTCTCTCTTATATCTATTTAGTCAGGGCCATAGCTACCTATCTTGTAGGGGCTATATCTAACATTTTTGTAAGGGCCATATGTAATATTTTGTAAGGGCCATATCTAACATTCTTGTAGAGGCTATATCTAATATTTTTGTAAGGGCCATATATAACTTTCTTGTAAGGGCCACATGTAATATTTTGTAAGGGCCACATGTAATATTTTGTAAGGGCCATATCTAACATTCTTGTAGTAATATGTAATATGTAATATTATTGTGACATTCTTATAGGGACCATATATGTCTATCCTGTCTTAAAACCCCCTTATATCATACCTCAGGAGTCTATCATGTCTTAAAACCCATATATCATCATACCTCAGGAGTCTATCATGTCTTAAAACCCATATATCATCATACCTCAGGAGCCTGAGTCTAGCAGCTCATATCCTAGACGTGTACAAGGAGCTGTGTGATAAATAATAGACTGCACAAAAGCCCAGTTTCTATCAAACGAACGCAGTGTGACATTCATTGAGTCAGGCATGACACTACACATAGTTTCAATACCGGCTCTAGAGTCTTTCATCTGTAGAATTCAGTAAACGATGGCATAATTCACCCACAACCCCACCCCACATTACATTTAACACCCGGTCTCGCCTCTTAATCCAATAGATTATCTCCCCTTTTTCTGT